TAAACAGGTATTTATTCAAACGTTAAAAATGCATTTTTAGTTTTAAATATGTGCAAGGAGACTGGCATATTAGCAGGTGTCCAAACAGGTTTTGCCCCCCCTCCCCCCGTATGCCCAGTGATGCAGTTTTCATCCATGCATTGCAGTGGTCAAATACCATGAGCTTTGGCCTACTTAAATGGTCCCCTAGGCCGTTAGAAGCAAGAGGACCGTGCCATGACGCCGTTTAAATCCGGTATCGGTAACTTCCTCCCGATGGTCCAAAATCTGGCTGAGACCAGCTGCTGGTTGAATCACTTGGTCAGCGGTAGAAACAGCAAGCAGAGAACAGAGAATGCAGGAGGAGCGGAGGAGCGTTGACATCCGTTCATGGCAAACTGATAACGGGGACAATGACAATGATCAATATGACTTCAAAATATTGTTTTCCAAAATTGTAAGGCCGAGGTGAATCCGCTTTTACTATGCACCAATGAAAAGTTTTGGCCATGTCAAGATTTTGTAAGATGCTCCAGTCGTATGATTAAAGTTGTAATATTGTGGCAGAATGAAAAATTGCAAATGCGGAGTCGACGACGTAGATTAATACTTTGTGAAAGTTATTTCGACGGATTTTCTAATATTTAACTCCCAAGCTGCGCAAAGTTTTAATTTTCTTTCCCTTCCTGAGGTCTACAGTTATATATTGGCTGAACCTTTCATTTAAATTGCTCGTGAATCGCCATTCTTTATTTAAATGGTAAAGACAAGGATGTAAATTTAATATCATTCATTACATTGTGATAAATGTGCATGGCGTTATCGAATTCTTCCGCCTGGCTTTTTATCAAAGTTTTCTTCTCCTACGGGAAATTACCTTAACAGCGTAAGAAACTGTGGCATTCCTCAGTGCACTTTACCGATACCACTCGCAGTATGACTAAATTATCATAACCGATTTCGTTAGTCAACTATATCTACCTCAGGCCAGCGTTCATCACGTCTATCGTGGCGAATCTGGAGTGCTCATTCCACCGACATTCCATATCTTGGCGGGTTGACCTGAAGTAATTTCGCTGTTGATCGTTGTTCTGTTGCTGGAGAGAAATGTTTTTATCACTGAGCTAAAAATAGGTACTATTCATTATAATTAAATCTTTTTCTGTTAGCGATTCTACACTTACATTTTAATCAGTCATAGTTATAGCATTGTTTATGTGTCCACAGTGAGCTGCGTTTCCATTCTCCAAAACCCTTCCGAGCATTCACGCCAGTTCCTGTAATTTCCATATCAGTAGCCACTGATGAGTGTTATAGAGTGAGACTCTTTAGGTTGTGCTGCCTCCACAGTTTAACTGGTTTCTGCAGCCCAAGATTTACTCTAGATGTTGAGAACGTGATTATCTATTTGTGGAAGTGTTTTTGTTGTGGCATTTGCCAATGCACTTTACAATTGCAATACACATGTAATACGGAACCCCGTCTATCAGATACCATCGTTGATTTGACAGTCCTCACGAGTTTCCACAAACATTTCGCAACCATTTACTAAGTCGTGCAAGCCAAAAGCTAGATGAAAAGCAACTGACATTCATACTGTACACGTCTTACTTTAAACCATTGGTTTTGTTTAATATAAGAGGGAATATTATAAGTGAAGCGCCTTTTACATTCGTCAGCTTCCTCACTTTGGCTGACGGTTTCTTCTGGTGACCTGCTGAGTGGAATAAATAACCGACGGTTGTTTACCAAACGTTCGCTTTCATGAGTAGGCTGCTGCGCATGAGCAGCGAAGGCAGAACTTGAAAATGAAGCAGAGGCAGGCACTGCATTGGTGAGCATCTCTTGTGATCAAAAACAAATAAGTATATCGTAATCAATTTCGATGGAAGTGTTGAAGATCACAGAAGACAAATGGAAAACATACGTTGGGAAATTAAATTCCCATTGGTATCATTTTCATATTTCTGATGACGACTCACTGGTATTTCGCATCGAAACTCGTCAGTGAGTAAAAAAATTGCACCATCCTTATTAAATTGTTGTTTTGAAGCATGGATCGAAAAACGAGGATCACTGGTTATTGTCCAAGCAGGCAACGAATTCATACCTCCTTCAATAGCGATTGGAACGCAGTGTCGTATTTTTGATTGGTTTTCCAAACGTTTAAGATAACTTTTGCTGGAAGTGAGGGTGATATTCTGATCGATTGTTTTGTCCTAGAATAAGTTCACTCCTGAAGTTGTATCGATGACCTGAGGCACATTAGTCAGTTCACTTTCTAGATAATCGATGCCCTATCCTGAAGGAATGGGTTTAGCTATGAGGTCAGAGTAAAACACAATTAGCTAACTCGCCATGAAATAAATGCTTGTTTGGGGTATATTAGATATTAGTCGTTGTGAAGTTGCTTCTTGAAATGCGCTGTTCTTTGACTTAATTTGTGCTAGAACAATATCACAAAATATAGTCCAGCGGTCCATTTATTTCGTCTCCTGTACTCCTAGTGTCATGTGATGTACTAAATAATACACATTAAAAACTCAAACAGAATTTTTCAGAAGCATTAAGTACGAAAATGCTTGTCGCACTTCAATAAAGCAGTTTATTTACAAATTCAGACAAGACGATGCGGCACAACTAGACCAGGATTTAGCTGAATGTACGGATAATATGTCCCCCCCCCCAGCCCCGTCGTCGTCAACTTGACTTGACTCCTGAGGGAGGACTCATCAAAAAAAGTAATGGCGGTTTGGGTGGCGCGAGATCTGGTTGCTGCAGCTGAAACTTGGCTCGCCATGTTCGTCGTTGTACAGCGCGTATTTCAATGTACATGTTTTTATGCTTTCAAAACTATTCCGGTAGTTGTATGCTTGAAGCCATAGTTCACTAAGTTCTGAATATTAATAGCTACTCCCAGCAGACAACTTTTACTGCGACTTAATGATGTCCCTATTCCTTCGCGACAATCGTTATTTAGCTATCGTTATAAACGGTGCCTTTTAAGCTCCTTGATTCATGTCCCTGCTTAGTGATTGATGAAACTTGGATCGTTTGTCGAATCACCAAGTTTGCATCAGTTTAAGATAAGAGAGAGTCCTCAATTTATTGTCACTGTTGAGGTGAAGACTCATCAAGTCTAAAAATCGCTTGCCGACACTCGAAACTAACTCAACAGGTCAAGCGTTCCGTACCTACCTCATATACTCGCAACCATTATTTATCATACGTCATCGCTGACGTTCCACACGAATCGTCTTGAATTTATAACAGCGAGTGACTACGAAAATAACTCTGTTTTTATAACCGAAAGCAAGAATTTATTAGACTTCAAGAAGTGCGAAATTTTCTCGTTAAGCCGTAAATACGTGCTAGGGCAGCGCAAGCATGTATAAATAAATAGCCAACGTCGAGGAATGCCACGAAACCTGTCATGCCGCATGCGCGACTATCTGTCATTCAGGTGCAGCTGAAATCTGACGACTCCGATTGAAAGGCCGTGTGTAAAACGGTACGAGAACGACTGAATATGACTTCCAATGTTTTACATTTGGAGGAAGGTGAGAGAAGCTTGCAAGTTATGAACGACTTGACTGACGAATATCGATGATATATTTATCGAACTTCTATAACGGGCATCCAGAAGTGCGGAGTTAGTCAGTGATTGACTGAAAAGTTAATATTTTTAAACACGGTTATATTTTCCCTCGATGGAATGGTGTTTGAATGATTCGTGGGTCAGGGCACCAAATACAACAGATGGTACAACAGCCTATTGCCAACGCGTTTCGCTACGTAGACCGTAGCATAATCAGGACTACCTAGGCCTTCAGGGAAATCATTCAAACACTTATCTACATAACTATGGGCCCAGAACCGAAAACCTAAAGAAATAGTGTTTTCTCTAGATAATTCCAACTTTTTTAATTTAGGAAAATCTGACGGATTGACCTCGCCATGCAGAACGAGTTGGGTGCAGCGAGTCCTCTTTCCTTGTTATATTACCGAGCTTTTATTCTGTTTAAATCAAGTTGAGCTGGTTATGAGCTGGTCTTCTGAGTGTCTTACGAACCTGACACTTTATGCATTACTTGTCTCCTCTGCTCTTTAAGTTCTTGCTTGCTCCCACTTATGACCAGAGTGAACTTCTAAAATATTTAATAAATTTCTTCTTCCTCATCACCTT